GTAATATATTATTATAACTTTCTTTACGTCATTCGACCCGATAAAAGGCGATTCCGATCTCGTTTCGTTCCATTAGATCTCGGTTTTCGGGCCCAATGACATAAACTATTGTATGAAGTCGTCCGGCGATAAAAGTCTTATGTATATTTTGTATTATATTAGTAGTATTTATATTTTCCAAGATCTATGCCCTGATCTATTCGTTTGTTGAAATGAAGAAATGGAATTCATTGAATTTCATTTTGTCATGAATACCTTATAAATATTGATAATGAATCAAAGAGAATTCGACTAATGATTGAAGTGAATAGCGAAGTAGAGTAAAAGAATCTATAATAGTATATTTCGTCACTAGGCCGAAAAAAACTTTTTGTCATTCCGGCCGTGAGGCAGCGCTTCACAGACGCTCCGCGTCCGTGAATCTCTGCCTACGGCCGTCATGACAAAAAATACTGTTCGTTATACGGCCAAAAAAAACTTTTCTAGCTCATATGATTGCAGCCCTCGCCTTCGGCTCGGGCTGCAAACTCATATTCGCCAGAAAATTTCTTTTCGGCCTAGTGACGAAATATACTATTTCATTTTCAATGAATTATCTTCAATTTTTTCAAATAATCGGTCTCCATAAAAGGACAGAATTTATTAATTTCAATATATATATCATATATAAAATATATATCATATATATATATATTTCGTCATATATATATATATATATATATATATATATATATATATATAAAATTTTACCACTGAAGAATTTGAAATTATGTCACTGAAGAATTTGAAAATGCCGCGTGTTTTTTTTTGTGAATAACTTCGTGTCACACATTGACCAATCAGAATTAAGGATTAGCGGTTAGACAGTTTCGAGATATTTTGATATAAAACAACTTCACGTTTCTTTCATCTTTAGTAAAATAGGACTTTATAATCCGAGCCGAAGGCGAGGATTATAATCACATTTGTCAGACAATACTTTTATCACCTGATGACATAATATACTAATTTGCATCTGTTTTTTCATACGTGAATGATGCGATGAATGTCTACTTTCCCTTCTGAATGTATTCTATTAGGCATACATTCATTTATTCACTTCCAAACCAGTAGCGAAGCGGTAAAACGGGTTAAGTCGATTTTGACTTATGGTCCGTTTTTGATTAATATCTCGAAATCTAAAAGAGATAGCAAAATTTTTTTCATGACCTTTTTTGCAGGGTCAATTGAGGGTTATAAAAAAGGTCATAACAGAAATTGTTCTATCTCTTTTAGATTCCGAGATATTCGTCAAAAACTGGGCAATAGTCAAAATCGACTTAACCCGGTTTACCGCTTCGCTACTGAAACCTTTCCTCAAAAGTCGAAATTACATTTATCTCACTTTCATTCTTCTTCCTATGCTGGAATTTTCATACTCGTAATAAGCGTAACGCTCATTCCTCGAATTTCATTGGTCGAACATTCGGATCCTCCCGCACGTGTTCGACTTCGGTCGGCTTTCGGTTTTCGTGTCACGATTTGTCTTTAACACGCGCGCTCTTCGGTGCTTGCCTCGACTTTAGTAAGAGGATATAACCAATACGAACAGAAGAACACGCGCGCTCAAGCGCGCGATCGTTCTCGTATTATAAATATCTGTTGCATCGTTGAACGAAGACACTAGTCACCTACATTCAGTCCATCCAAGCGATGATTAAAGACAAGATGGCGTTCTCTTGTAGAAGGAAGACATTATAAAATTATTGAGCTTATGAAATTGCCAGTATGATGAGATATAGAACCGAAGAGTAGGTGATGGAGGGAAAAAATTGATTTCAGGCTCCGGAAAAAATAGAAAAGAAATTGAAAACTGCCTTTTTTCAAACTTCCGTACATAACCTCAAATTCAGTGCTTCAACCTAGAAAAAAACACGAAAAAATTACGTATACGTGGGTCATGTGACAGACATAATTTGCAACTGGACAAAACATAAAAAATAATGTACATGCAAAAAACCCAGAACATGAATTTCGTAACTTTCCTTTTGCACCTATTTTTTCATACGTGAATAGTATTATGAATGTCTATTTGTTCTTCTGAATGTATTCTATTAGGCATACATTCATTTATTCACTTCCAATCATTTCTTCAGAAATCGATATTACTTTTATTTAACTTCCATTCTTCCTCTCATTTTGGAATTTTCATACTCCTATTTTCCGTTCGTCGTGTTATTACTATAAATATCTTTTGCATCGTTGAATAAAGACACTAGTCACCTACATTAAGTCCATTCAAGCGATGATTAAAGGCAAGATGGCGTTCTCTCATAGAAGGAAGACATCACAAAGTTATTGAGCTTATGAAATTGCCAATGAGACGAGAAATAGGACATGAGAGCAGGTGATGATAGAGTAATGTCGACAATGTATACTCATCACATAGCGAACAAGAGACGAACGATGGAGAGAGAGAGAATATACGCCGGCACGTCAGTGCATTAGAGGTAATCGTCGGCTGCTCGCGCCCATTCGACGTCCAATGCATTAATGCATATGCCCCCCAACGGTTAAATTATACAAGTTGTCTGGCTGCAAACCTATAATACACGTACATTATTCTGTAATTTATTGATGTTATAATAATTACCCAGTGCGACCGTCATAATTACTGTAATGATCGAGCACCGTATAAACAACCGCCTTGGGTATATTTTTTATTTTTTTCTAGTTCTGAGATAAGTGTACAGTGCAGTATGTACTTTATATTGACGTGTGTATGATAGGTCTGATACACGCACGTGAATTTTCTATCTGAACTCGGGAATGCTCGGTGATTAAAGCGAAAGTTGAGTTGTGGCTTCATGTTGGGGACTTCAATGTGGGCAATTACATAAATTACAGGGGGATTCCAACACCTCGAGAAACTTCCGCCTCGTTACACTGGTGTTTCGTGAAGTACTGATATTTGATAAAATTGTTCCGTTTTTGCATTCGACTATTCATTTCAAATTATTTCTAAATTTGAAATAAAACCTTCCGAATAGTTTTTCTCTTTTTTATACAAAACAAAAAGTAGTGAAAAAGGAACTGAAACGTAAAAAAATGAAGATTAACAATTCCCGATGAAAATGTTGTTAATTGAGTGATTTGAAAAGAAAAGATGTGAGAAATCGCTTTCGTCAGAACATAGTCAACATATTTTTAGTAATAAATTAGAAATTTGTAATGTAATGTAATTTCTATGCACTGATAGAATGATTCATTTATTCCAAACGAGATTCGTTAACTATTAACGAATGGTAGAGTTGAATATGACCAAATGAATATTCGTTAATAGTTAACGAATGGTTCACTTGAATGGCGAAAGTCAAGTCAAACAAGGCTCCTCAAATATACATTTGTTAACTATTAACGAATGAACATTTGGTGGGACCGAATAGACCCTAACCTCCAACCAAAATCCATTCGTTAACAATAACTAATCCGTCCTATCAGTGTGGCAATGTATTTTAAATTGTATTCAATAATCCATTCAACATTGCAGCTAATATTAACCCAACGTTGACAGCCAACATTGTCCCAACTTTAAAATTTTTTAAATTTCCCTCCATATGGGTCAAATAGTATATTGTGTTACTAGTAGGTAAAGTTCCACTTTTTCACACGCACGTGTAACACATCCTATTTTTTGTGGTACCTGCCGAGTTCACTGTTCGGAATGGTAGTGGGAGCAATGTTTTTTTTGGTGCACAAGTGTACGTGAAGTGAATTTGGAGTGCGTAAAGCGAAGCTTTACGCACGAGAATTCATTTCACGAACGTTCTTGAACTTTACGCACGCCGTGCAGAAAATAACCGCTTTACACACACTAAACCGTTTCGAAAAGTGCACTTTTGAGTGAGCTATCACAAAATACTATATTGTGTGACAAGTTCGTAAAGAACCACTTTTTTGCACGCACACGTAACACATCCTATTTCTTGTGATATCTGCCAAGTTCACTGTTCGGAACGGTAGTGGGGGTAAAGTGATTGTTTTGTGCACGAAGTGCATAAAGTTCAAGGTCGTGCGTAAAGTGAATGTTGAGTGCGTGAATCGAAACTTTACGCACGAGAATTTACTTTACGCACGACCTTTGAACTTTACGCATGCCGCGCAGAAAACAACAGCTTTACATACAGTAAACCGTTTCGAAAATCGCACTTTTCAGGCAGGTATCACAAAAATATTTTGTTTCAGCAACACATAATGAAATCAATCTCATGATCGAGCTCGGTCGAGATGACATTGTGAAGAATATTTTCGATCATAATAGGATTACGCATTTTACAAATTTTGGATTTGACGAATACAATGCTTCCATCCGGAAGAAAATATAAAAGTCATGAATAAATAAACGAAAAAGTTAATTATTATGAGGCATGTCAACCGCATTTCCTTCTTGACCCTGGAGAAATGATAAAATCCGTAAACGAAGCAAAGAATTCGATTCAATAACTTCTTGAAGACCAAAAAACTAAAAATGAAACTGTGAAAGAAAGATCCGATTGGATAGTCACGAGAAAATTATAGCTGATAGGTTATGTTTGCTATTCAAATGGTGATTCATCTACTCGATGGAGTGATGGAGAGAACAATGAATTAATTATTTTTGGTCAATCGTGGAGACAGATAGTGGAGTTTGTTCGATGTGAATATCAGCGTGAGAATCGGCACCTGCTTGCAGGAAGGCTTTCTCTCCTTTGGTAATCCCCCGCCGGGACCGCCATCTGCAGTGGTAAATCAATGTGGGGTTAATATATGAGGCCCTGTGCAGCACGTGTGTTGGGGGCTTTGATTACTGTACGATTAAGGATCAGAGGTTAGGGAAAGGATTACCTGCATTGATGGATTGTTCTTCCGGATGGTTGAGAGGAATAATTGGGAATCATTATTGGATAAGTGTAATCACTATTCAGGATTGTGGTGAACTTGATTGGACGACACTTGGATTGATTGATTTTCATTCGTTGCCATTCGTTAACTGTCAACTTTATTAAGACACTGACCGTACATTAATTTCTTAACATAAACTGTGATTATATCACACTATATTCATATTTCAGTTCTATCGAAAGGGAAAGAAGAAAATACGGTAGAGTATATAACTACTCCATCAAGGAATTTTCCGAGGAAACTGAATTATTCCGTCATTTAAGAACATAAGAAATTGAAATTAACAAGGAAATTGAATCGGACTCATTTAGGTAAAAAAAATGACTTGAAGGGACGAATGGGTCAAAATTATGACCTTTTTGGAGTTCATACCAGCTGTGTCCCCGTCGCGAACCCCGGGTAATGCTAACTGCTGGTGATGCTTGATACTTTGAAAATAAGTGTTTCACTACACGTTGAATTTATATGAACACATAATTGAAATTTAAAAAACTGCTTTTGCAAGGGAAAGCGTAGAGTGGGAATTCCCGTACATCTACAGGAGCATCCGCGTTACTAAGTGTGATAGCTCAAAGAGGTTAAATTCATTTATAGCAACCAGTTTCCGACACAATATACGTTGAAATACTTCAAGATTAATATTTTTTATTCATTTTCCTTACTATATATACCCTATTCGAGTTTTTACATTTTTGCGGTTTCATCGGCCAACTTTTTCTCCAACCGCGTCGTATTGTACCCTAGGAGCTGTACACCACGTACAGACTCTCCTGGTGACTAAGGGAAACCATGGAAAACCTTGGTCGACACGGGCGTCCATCGACCGAGCTTCATCGGGGAATAGTTTCCTAACACTTCTCCAATGATTCTCGGTGTCTAGACTTCTGTTCGACGGTTTCCGAAAAATTCAAAATTCCAATTGCCCCAAGCCGAACTCGAACCCGCGCCTCACGGGTCCCGCTGTCCGGCCGAGTGATTTAACGACTTCAGCTACCGTCGTTGGTTACTTCAAGATTAATATGAAAACTACAATATTTATTTGTCAGTTTCTTGAAAAAAATTGGAGTTGCTATATTATCTAATAACCGAAAATATTGTCAATATGTAACAAAATTGGTTCAATTCCTCTTGAAAATAGGAGGAATGGCTCTCCTTTGTCACTTTTCGCATTCATCGTTCTGTCAATGAAATTTGTTTTATCCCATTTTCATCGAGAATCGCTGCGATATGCTCAGTTCTCTTTTTTGTTCCATTCAACTCTTCAAAAATATCTAACTTTGATTTTCCTTTAGTCTCAGGTAGAAGGAAAAATATGATTGCCAGAGTAACACCAGTGAACAATGCGAGAATGAAAAAGCTCACATGGATCCCAAACTTTGCAGTGACTAATGGGAAAGCCAGGGTAGTACAGAAATTTGAGATAAACTCGGTTGACAGGGCAACTGAAAGACCTAAACCCACGATGTCCGGACTGAAAATCTCAGATGACACGACAGAAGTCGAGGGACCCAGTCCTGCAGAGTATACCAGGGCATACGCGGATATTGTGACAACTGGAAGCCAAGAAATCGATGCCAAGTCATACTTTTGATTTTGAAATATGTACATAATGCCGAAAACACAATGACTCGTCATTATCCCTGCACAAGACGCCAGAACCAGCTTTCTTCTTCCGATACGATCTATCGTCAGTGTTGATATCCATGATCCGATGATTTGTATCACTGCAATGACTATTGATGCTGTATATGGATTGACGGAAGTTTGGGCAAGTTCGAATATCGCTGTAGTATACGTAAACTAAGAGAGAAAGAATTCCATCAGTGAAGGAAGAGTTGAACTAATAGGGAGTATGATCAGAGGATGACGCACCATGATTGCATATCCGGAAGTGTGCTGTCCAGCAAATAGAGTTACCGATATAATCAATGCCCTGATTGTCCCTCGATCCCTGAATAACTCCTTCAAACCGGAAGTTTTCCCAGAGTGCGATGTGATGTGATTCTGAAGTTGGACTAATTCATTATCGACTTCCTCTGTGTCATTATTTCTCAGCCACAACAGAGATCTAGAGATTAATCATTCTTTAGATTCACTAGGATAATATGAGAAGTCAAGACACGTGTAGACGGAAAAACGTCTTTTTTAAAACAGTCGAAATTTGAGTCGTCACGAAGTTAGCCGATAAGACATTTTTATGTCTAATGAGTTGAATTAAGACGTCTTAAAGACATCAGTTTCTAGAGTGTTCATTGTTTGTATTCGATGCCGGATCTGGTTCTGGTAGAAATATTCAGCGATAGCCAAAAAACAATGGATTTGTAATCAGTTAGTCAATTTAGTCAATTTAATCACAATAGAAATAACTACATCCACTTTTTTATAAATAAAGCGAAGAACAATAGTTTCACGTTGTTCAATGATTAAATTAATAGCATTGAGCCACTAATTGAACACAGATCAAACTGTCAATAAAGCGATGAGCAAAAGCGAAGGCCACGTGCACACACTGAGAAGCACAAAATGCAAACAAAAGTGATTAATAGACGACGGAGATAGGTGGCGAAAATCAAGAGGTGTGAACATGACCCAATTAAAATGGGGGTGTTTACATGATCCTGTCCATCAAGTAGCGCCTCACGTGCCGAAGATCGAAAGTGATCAGTCATCTGAGGTGAGAGAGCAGATCAGCTGTGGGCAGGCCATGTGTGAATGCAAGCGCAAAAAGTGCGTGCGCATGTCTATGTGAGTATTCGGTTAACCCATTGCTTTGCGTAAGTCTCGAATCGTCTCGTTGTGAGAGGGGTGGGGGTCCGTCCGAGTATTAGTGCGCCATAACAGAAGCACGCGGACGCACGCACACCACTACAAATCGGCGAAAAGTGGGGTACCATGAGACGAAGCAAAGGGTTAATAAGCAAACTGTCTGCATGTGAATTGTCAAATTATATTACCTTTTAGCTCCGTCGACGAGCCCCTTTCTCAGAAGATGAGTCGGGGATTCAGGGAGGGGTATGAACCCAACAATGAACACAAGCGGCACGATGGTCCCACACAATGCAAAATTGTGATAAGACAGCTGTGCCCCAAGGATAGCTGTCGCCAGTGTTCCCAGATTGAAGCCAAACGAGAGAAGGCTACCCAGTTGTCCTCTGATTGAGTCCTCAGCAATCTGGGAAACATAAACTGGTGTCATGGAGAACGTCAGTCCGCAGACAACTCCGGCTAGGCTGCGAGCGATCAGAAGGTAGTAGAAGTTTTGCGCAAAGTATATGAGCAACCAACTGGCAGTTGCTGATGCTGCTGAGATCCATCCTAGTATTTTGTTACTGATCTTCCCGGCGGAGAATGCGTAGAATAGGAGGGCAATCAGTGAAGCAAGACCGGTCACTGAGGATAGCGAGGAAATTTCATGATCAGTCATTGGTGTTGTGCCAACTGGGGTACTTTCCTTCGTCAGCTGCGGAGTTATTGGCGAGGTCCAGGCTGACAGCATTCCAGCTGCTACAGTCGACAAGTTCGCTGGAACGAATCAAAATAATCAACATCAACAGGAACTTCAATTTTCAAAATTCAATCAGAACTTGGTAATCGGCGGGAAAATTTGGAATTGAAGCTTACCGATGATAGCTGCAAACGTTTGACGACATCTCTTCCGGTCAGATAAACAGATATCGAAACCAATCATAACTCTGACGACAAGCTAACTCTGATTCACATCCACCACACTCTGTTTTTGTACACCGAATGACAATGTTCGGACGGAAGCAAAGTATTTTGTAATGTTTTCTCATGTATGTCTTATATGATGAAGTTAATTATGTGACAATCTTCAAGATTAAGTAAATTTTTCATGCAGAAATAAAACCTGTATTTTCTGTATGCAAGAATTCTTAACCTCAGAGTCAGAAAAGATCATTCTTATTCAGAAACGTTTATGCAATGACCAAGGAATTCTTGAATGAAAGTCAGAAATAAAAATTTCTTCGCATTTATTCACTTTAAATTGTTTCACACCGCGAATTACGAGTTTTTCTAACAATGCGAACTTGATCCAACTGACCTTGACGATTTTCCTCGTCTTCACTGCACCGCGATTCAGAAAAGACTCACCGCTATTGTCTCCTACGGCACTTCAATTATTGTATTAGGTTTGGTGCAGGCGAGGCGAGTAATTATTTCCGCCTACCGGCATTCACGATCTAGCGAACCATTCACATCCTCTCTCGACAAAGTAATTATGCAACACTTTTTCTATCGGCGATTTACATCTCCTAGTGCAGGTTAGATAATTTCGTGGGACACGATCTTTGTTACAGGTTCAGCGAGAAACTATTGATTGATTCATATCTCTGAATCTAAGAGAATTTTGTAACTGAATTGTTTTGCAGTAAGAAATTAGAACTGGAAATTTATCATCATAAAATCGGAAATTCCTCTTTGAAACCATTATTAACAATTATCAATACTTATAAAATACATATAAATAATGCGTCAGAAAATGAAAGACTCGACTCATGAAACATTCTTTCCAATTCCATTGTCATTCAAATTCAAAGAATGATTATCACCTTTTTTCGCCTGTCGGTTTAATTCCTCAGAAATAGCGACCTTCGATTTCCCCTTAGTCTCGGGTAGAATGAAAAAAATAATTGCCATCGTAACAACAGGGCAAGCCGCGAGAATGAAAAAGCTCACGTGCATGCCGAAATGAGAGCTTACAAATGGAAAAGCTAGTGTCGTTAAAAAGTTGGAGATGAATTCCGTAGCCAAAGAAATGGAAATCCCTAAACTCACAATATCCGGGCCGAAACACTCGGAAGTGACGATAGATGTGCCAGGGCCGAGTCCTGCGCAATAAACAAGACCAAAACCAGACACTGCAGCAAGTGGAATCCAGGCCACGGATGACAGATCATACTCTCGACTTTGTAGCAGAAGATAAATTCCGAAAGCTGCATGAAAAGTTGATATTCCTGCGCAAGATGAAATGATGAGCTTTCTCCTTCCAAGATGATCAATTGTGAATGTTGGTATCAGTGATCCAATTATTTGTATGCCGGCGAGGACTAGTAATGAGTCATCTGCGCTCACGGCAACCGATCCTTTATTTGCTTGTTCGAAGATCATCCCGGTGTAGGAAAACTGGAAGAAGTATTGCACAGTATTAAATGTCTCAAGTTAGATGACTTTTTCTGAGGTTATACTTTCAAAACTAGTGTGTTCAAGACGTCCTAATTCAAGTCATTAGACACAAAAATGTTAATCGGTTAATTTCGTGATGACTGAAATTTTGAATGCCTGAAAATGAGACTTTTTTTCCAGGTGAAAAAAGACATTTGATAGACATTATATCTTGTTATACAACTCATCAAATTTGAGAGATTTTTGCTTCCAAATAGTACACTAAGAGAAAAATCGACATAATATCACAAAAATTATTTTTTGAGCGAAAAATATCGCATACATATTTGATCAATTTTTGGTAGGTTTCAGACAAAAAATCGGTGCTCTTCAGGCTAAGGAGAAAGTTACTGAATGAAAAGGTGATGTCTTTTTTCGAAATGAGATAATATTTCTTAAAAGATGAGAATAGTTTGACAGAAGGAAAAGAAGATATTGCTTCCCTTCGAACTCAAAGCGATTGTGCGTAAGCGACGATTGTATTTTTTTAATATCTGAACTCAATTAAGAGTAAATCGTCAGAAAAAGTCGATTCAGAACTAAATTGTTAATTTATTAGCAAAAATACATTCACTATACTGCGACGAAAGCAATTTCCTACTTGCTTCTATCTCGATTCAAGGTACTTAAGGACTATTCAGTCCCTAGTCATTTATGACACCACTACGATAAGACAGTATCGCCATCAAGTCATTAAGAAGGTCAGAAGGGATGAAAGGGTGATGAGGGTGGGAAATATCAAATGAGCATACAAACCTTAAATATTATTGTGAGGGAAAATACTTTTCATCAATATTTTCAATCACAAACATTCTTTCACCCTCATTTTCCTACTTCCTTCAGATTATGCTCCTAAATTATCAGTGAAAAAATGATGGGCGCTTTTCACGCCGTATCGTCAACCATTGGCAATACATGAAATATTTGGAACAACAAATGAAATCTCTATAAGTTTGAAACAATAGATGCTCAAGTATCCAGAATGCATGTCGAAACGTCTCACTTTAAGACACTCAAAATGACATCAATTTGCGGAAACAAATGTCTTAAAAAAGGGGACAGAAGAGTTTCAATTTCAGACACGACACTGTTAGAAAAGTACTCTTGAAATTTCAAGTAAAAAAGCTTGAAATTTTGAACAACGACAAAGTTACATGAAATTTCTGTAGCACTCTTCATTGACAAATCAGTTAATTTCTTGAATATTCAAGTAATTCTCAATTTTCAGGTCTATACGGCACTGAAAAACCTTGAAAATTTATAAAATTCAGGCAACAACTTCTCTGAATTTTCAAACTATTGAAAATTGAATTGTATGTGATGTTCAATTTTCACGATGAGTTTGAAAATTCAAGCTTCCATTGAAAAATCAATGATTCGTTGTCATGAAAAACTTAATTTTCTTGAATTTTCAAGATGAATGAGAAATTTAGTGAACGTTTTCATTTGAAATTGAATTCAAACTCACAACATTGAAAATTCGGAAGATATTGTGGCTCAAATTTCAAGAAATTTCCAGCAGTGTAGTTTTCCTAATGAGCAAAAACAGTATTGCAAACATGACTTACAATTATTGCATAACCACCGAAATGTTGTCCCGCATATAGGGTTATAGAGATGATCAACGTTTTGATCGTTCCTCGATCTCTGAACAGATGCTTCAACCCCGCGGTTTTTATCGAATCAGGTGTGAACTGCTTCTCCAATAGTTTCAAATCGCGATCTACAGCGGACTGGTCATTATTCCTCAACCACATCAGGGATCTGCAAATCAACGATATTCTTCAAACGTATGTATCCAAAAACATCCGACGATCATGATGTGTGCAATATTACCTAGTGGCGTTATCAACAAGTCCCTTCCGCATGAAATACGCCGGAGACTCCGGCAGAAAGACGAACCCAACAATGAACACTACTGGCACGATCAGGCCACACACCGCGAAATCGCGATAACTCAAGGTTGCACCAAGAATGAATGCCAGGAAAACTCCTATATTAACACCAAACGAGAGAAGACTTCCCAGTGCACCTCTGATAGAATCCTCAGCGATTTCAGTGACATAGACTGGCATCATGGAGAACGTCAGTCCGCAGACAACTCCGGCTAGGATGCGAGCGATCAGAAGGTAGTAGAAATTCTGGGCGAAAAGTATCAGCACCCAGCTTCCGATTCCGGACATTGCTATGATCCACGCTTGGATTTTGGTGCTGATCTTTCCAGCTGACAGTGCGTAGAAAATTAGAGCAAACAGGGACATTAGGCCTGTTGCCGAAGATAGGATGGAGATTTCATCCTCCGTTATGGGTTCTGTACCAACAGGGGTATCCTCTTCCATAAGTCGAGGACCCACTGGAGAGATCCAGCTTGATAGCATTCCACCTGTTACAGCTGCCAAATTGGCTGAAATAGATATTGAGACGACAATGAGAAGGCAAGTAATCTCATTACCAAAGGAGTATTGAGGAAGTGTTGACTAATCTTTTTGGTCGTCATCAATCAGAAAACATGTTAGAAGCAGTTTACAGCAAGGGTAATCAGCAGAATAATTCAAGATTCATTTATGGCATGCTTACCAATAACGGCTGCAACAATTTGACGCCATTTATTCAAATCCAACGAGAGATTGTCACAACCTATCATATCTCTCGATTTCCTTACAATCTTTCTGACTACGTCTTCCAATATATCAGAAATCACCACTTGATCACACGTGAATAATCTGTTTGCCTCATGTCATAAAATGACAACTTCTGTACACTGAACAATCAGTTCTAATATTTTCCATTATCTCTACTGATTCGATAAAATCAGTTGATAATCTTGCAATCTTTTAATCACCAAAACAAGGCCTTGCAATCAGGTGCCATTCACAAGGGCTTCATAAATCCGAGTCATCCGTATCTCACTTGCATTACGATAACCTGTCACATACCATTGTAAACACATGGGATAAACTATCTATGATGACATTTTCTAGGATTTCATTAATCCGTTATGTATTTCTAATTTTGGCAATAACATCCTAATTCACCCACACCAAGTGCAACATGAAAACCGATCGTGTACGGTGCACGGCCACTTGTCTGATAATGAGCAAGTGATCGACAGCGAAGCGAGTAGTTATTGCCGCAGTTTTATTATGCTGCAATATTCATTTCTACATTATATACATTCCAAAGTATTTACTGAATGGACGTTATCATGTGTGACGCTTCGTTGAAAACACATCTGCAGAATCCATGTCTGTTGTAATTGCTAACTGATACTAACAGGGAGGTGTCATTGAAAAACCTGGCGCATGTCGTCGTAGAGAATTCTATTAAATTTCTATTAGTTTTTCGCCAATTCATCCAAAAATGTCGCAATTTCTTTACGGTTTATTCAGTGGGAAATAAAACAATTGAATATTGTGTGAAAAGATCACCAAGTCTTGCTCTTCTTGAAGAAATGCCTCGGTTTAATTTTTTTCAAGATTTTTGTTGGATTTTTTTAATGAACGAAGGAAAAAGTTGTAGTGAAGAACGCTTAGGGATTTTATACCAAAGAATTTCTGTAAAAATATTTCAATAAAAGAAGTCTTATGAAACTATCAAAGTTTTTCAGTTGTTTTCTGAAATATTTTTTTTCGATAATTTGTATCTAAAAAATGCGTGGAGAACTGCCAAGTTCTTTAATATAGAATGAGAAAAGACCTAATACGATTTTCAATAGAATTCCAATAGAATTGTCTATTCTGACGATTAACAATATTGCTGCAAATATTCTACTCGTAGGCATGCAGGTAAACTGGTGACTAAACTTCACCAGCTTTGGCTGGTTTATTTACCAGTTTACCTTCGTATTTGAAAAATTTTACTTATCGCGAACGGAAAGTGCAATAACTTGAGTTTGGAGCATTATCTATGCAACCGTTGATAACTTTAAATTTTACCTTTTTGTTAATTTTCAAAATATTTGCCATTTTACCAAAGTATGAAGCATTAATTGGGACAAGTTGTACAGCAGCGATTGATCCACTATAAATTGTAAGAAAATGAAATATCATATTTGATAGAAAGAGGAGTAAATTACGAAATTAGATGATTTAACGTTATATAAATCTTTGGTTTATTAAATAATTTTGTTGACCAACTATCGGACGATATTTAATGATAAATATTTCAAAATTGTTCTTTATTTCCTAAGATTGATTTAATATAAATTAAATAGAATAAAAGTCGCTTACCAAAATATAAAGTCACTCATTCAATTAATCTTTGGCAATTCCAAATAATTAAAATAGCGTGTGCACAAGTATTTGAATTATTATCAATCACTTATAATGATTGATAACAATTTAAATATATCAAAAACAAGACAAACCGGAGCCTCAGAGTACTCGAAAGAATTCTATGTAAAATTTGTACGATCTGTTTTATGAGAAATTGTGAGAAGCTCTGCGACATTGGCTGCTGCAGCGACTTTCCCTAAGTGGAAAAATATAAGGCAGAGGCGTAACATGCCTGATCAGAATTTCGGATCGGACTTGATCAGTTTCTGATCGAGACCTGAACAGAATTTCCACTCGGGTATGAGTCAATTTGAGAGTGAAATTCGTAAGTGTCCTGGTAGCTCAGATGGTAATAGCACCCGACGTGACATTGGGAGGTCCCGGGTTCGATTCCCGGCTAGGAAGTTACTAATTTTTTCTCTCAAAAAATTAAATTTAATTGATGCCTAATGATGGAAGGCAGAGAAACCCTAGTGGAAAAACATAAGGCAGAGGCGTAACATGCCTAATCAGACTTTCGGATCGAACTTGATCAGTTTCTGATCGAGACCTGAACAGAATTTCCACCTGGGTTCACGCACGGAGTGCGCTGCCTTACTCCGCAGCTAGGTCGCTGCTGGAACCCTATGCGACACTGACGTGGAGTGCTCCTGTTTTTTCATTTTATCGATAATATTATTATATTCATCAATTAGTTGCGAGAGATTATTATTCACCAACAAATCATTAATCCTTCAATAATTGATTTGAATTAATACGCATAATCTGAAGATTGTGAATTCTTAATTGACGGGATTTGAGGTTAGGGCGGACACAGATAGGTCCATCCTGCATAGACTCCGCGTAGCCCTGTCTCAGTGACCCTACCGCGTATCTTTCTGAGGTACATCGCCGCGAAAGACAATGTCCCGCGCCAACTTACGCCGCGACATTTCTGCGGAATGAAATTTCTACTAGGGGAGCTCTCGCAGGTCATCACAGGCATGACACTTGGTGTGATTGACCGTGACGCCTTATTTGGGTATTTCAGAAAATATTTGACGACGCGAAGATATAAATGATAGCATCATTAGAAAATAATAGATTGCCAACAACAGAAAAAACCATTGAAGTTATTATTTCTGTAACAATTGCGACCAAAAGCGTTTAATTGAGACTCGCGATAATCCTCCAGCTGTTTGACGTCATTCATAACATTGCACACGCGTATCGATATCTTCCGTTTTGAATAACGCAACGTGTCTTTTTGATAGCTGTTCTCAACATTAGACGAACCGAAATTTGTTTGCATGTACTATACCATTTTTGAATGTCACGTAGAAAGTGAAAAGAGGAAGAGAAACGAGATCAACACGAAAACAGAAGTTTTAATTTTTCAATGTCTAGGGTCAATTTTAAAATTGATATATTTTTTCCAGTAATGAACCAATACCCATAAATTCAATTCCTATCCTCACATTTTTATAGAATACATAAAAAAATAACGAAAAATTCAAATCGGCAATGAAAAATTTTATCGGATTATTATTATGTAACAATGTATGTATACACACACGTGAATAATAATGAAGAAATTAGTAGAAATTTTGGATTTTTTAGGTTAAATCAATAAAGAGTGGTATTGTATCAAATTACCAAACTATTTACCAAAGTGTAAAATTGACAACCTTCGACAGCAATAAAGAACGTGATTTGGGTGTCTCCTATTGTCACCACTGTACCGAAGTGGTGAGAAGAACACAACCAGTCACCAGAGTATGATGTAATTGTCAATAACTTAAGAAAGATCATCAGTTTCCGTGCTGATGAATTTAAAAGCAATAACTCTGAAAAAACCCAAACAATGTTTTCCACCGTGAATAGCCCCTTCGCATTTCATTAAAAATAAATGAAAATATTGAGGACATAACCATAAAACTCATCCTGATTTTCATTTCCGGATAAAACGATCTCCGAATGCCTGGGCAGTAACACTAAATAACGATCCCCTGAAATCGCTTTTGATCGCAATTTCAAAGTCGTAAAAGCATTCGAATTGAGAGTTGCCGAAGGATGCGAGAGGAGGTACAATAAAGAAGAAAGGAAGGAAGTTGAAAAGAAATCGAGTTTTCTCATTCACCATGTTGTTTTGTCACTCCCCCGATCCCCCAGTATTCTATATCCTCTCGAATGCCCAGAGGTTTTTTCTCCCTTACGTAGGCGCCAAAAGCAGAATTTCAAGGAGATACAAGTTGTGTCTTTGTGCATTTGGACGTAAGTGGTATTAATGGCCAGAAGGGTGGTAAACATTGAGAGACACTGAACATGACACAATGCGATTCGAGGATAATCTAATCGTTATTTTATGTATAAGAAATAACATCCGCCCCCGTGGAGGCCACGATATTATCGTGTACCGGGTCTATCCACTGTCACAAATTCATTGTGACCATTCTATGGGTATTTCTGGTGATAACTGTGAAACTTTATATGGAGATTGTGGGAATGTGTGCGTGAGGTTTATGGGTACCTTTTATTTTATAACCCGTGCGTAAGGGTCGATGATAAAGTATACGATCATACCGATGCTGTAAAATTCACCTCTAGGGGTTTTATTGTTTTTCTTCTTTAATGGTGGGTTTTCGTAGCACCAGGTGAGGATGATGGTGTGGGGAAGTGAATTAAGCTATGTTTGATTCAATATGAAGTTTTGAATCGACTCCTGAGGATATGAAGGGACAATTCAATTTGACTAGTCTGACGGCGCGCTCGCTCGCGCCTCTATGACGTGAGAACAGACAAAAGAGACCACATGCTTTCGAGATATTTGCGATATCGATTCGATATTTGTGTGACATAACATTCGAGAAATTGTGTCATGACGCATATGAATCTTTTAGATAAGAATCACACCGATGCTGTATTAAAATTCATTTCTAGGGATTTTATTGTTTTTTTTTTTATTGTGAATTTTTGTTATCAGGTGAAGTTGATAGTGTGGGGAAATGAGGAAAAGCCATATTTGATTCAATATGAAGTTTTGAATCGACTCCTGAGGATATGAAGGGACAATTCAATTTGACTAGTCTGACGGCGCGCTCGCTCGCGCCTCTATGACGTGAGAACAGACAAAAGAGACCACATGCTTTCGAGATATTTGCGATATTGATTCGATATTTGTGTGACATAACATTCGAGAAATTGTGTCATGACGCATATGAATCTTTTAGATAAAAATCACACCGATGCTGCATTAAAATTCATTTCTAGGGATTTTATTGTTTTTTTTTATTGTGAATTTTTGTTATCAGGTGAAGTTGATAGTGTGGGGAAATGAGGGAAAGCCATATTTGATTCAATACGAAGTTTTGAATCGACCCCTGAGGATATGAAGGGACAATTCAATTTGACTAGACTGACGGCGCGCTCGCTCGCGCCTCTATGACGTGCGAACAGACAAAAGAGGCCACATGCTTTCGAGATATTTGCGATATCGATTCGATATTTGTGTGACACAACATTCGAGAAATTGTGTCATGACGCATATGAATCTTTTGAATAAGAATCACACCGATGCTGTAAAATTAATTTCTAGGGATTTTATCGTTCTTTTTAAATTGTGAATTTATGCTATCTGGTGAAGGTAATAGTGTGGGGAAATGAGGGAAAGCCATATTTGATTCAATATAAAATTCTGAATCGACTACTGATGACGTGAAGAGATGACAATTCAATTTGAGTAGACTGACGGCGAACTCCCGCGTGCCTCTATGACGTGAGAATAGATAAAAAGGCCACACTCCGTCCAGATATTTATGATATCGATT